TTGTATCAGTGGAGGAGTGTGACAAAGTGTAGAAGAACACAACAACTCGGAGAAGCCCAAAAAGCGTTGGTCTTGATTCTTCGTAGTAATCTGGTAAAAAAAATCGATTGCTCCTGTGTTCTTCTTGCACGAATCCTGTTTTGTGTTATCGTTTCTCATTGTATTGGTAGTTGTTTTGTACATGATTTGAATGGGATATGTGAGGTATATATGAACGTTTGTGTGCATTACTGGAATCCAATTTTTGGTGTTTTGTCTCCGATTGTTTATTGTTTTCTAGGGTTTCAGAAGAACAAACTATGGGTTGTTGTGAATTTCTCAGTGTCATAATTGGCTAAAAGATTGAAAATTTTACTCAGATTGGTTAAGATTGAAACTGGAGTTTTATAGCTAGAAGAGAAATTTGATTACTGGGGCATAATCGTTTTATGTGTATCTGGGTTTATGATGTTATAGAATAAGCTTTAGCTTGAATCAATCCATGTGGTAGTGGTTAAAAGGTTCATGGGTTTCCAGATTTGAGTCAAGTTTAGATCTGAATCTTTGTGATTTTCTAGACTTGGACACTGGGTTTGGATTTGGATTTGAATAGCATCCAAGAACATCCTGGACTAGTAACTTTTTGAGGATTAAGTTATGTTAATCATGGAATTGGTTTTCTTGACTCTATTCCATGTTTTTTTGTTTTCCTCTGACATTTAGGAGATCTGAAGGATATGAACTCTAACATAGACTACATGAAGAAGTTGACCAACAGATTCATCGGTACTTAGAGAGTGATGTGCTTTCAGATACATTTTGGGTTTCTTAGACAAACATGTTGGTTGAAAGTTCGTTCGCGGCTACTGCTGAAACTAGTCTACTGAATGTATCCGAGTATCAAGACCCATATGCTGCATATGATTGGGTGTCACTTGCTGAAACTTATCAGATGATCCACAAATTTCCCGAACAGTCCCAGGTAAGCTTACTTGAAGCTGTTCCAGTTCCTGATGCAATGAATCTGAGTGAAGCAACACATCCAAAACTTCAAGTAAGTTGTCCAGAGCAATGTGTAATGCGTAAGGGATCAGAAAAGTCCCTGACTTCTCTTGTGTATAGTCGAAGGAAGAGGAGCGTGAAACCTGGGGAAACTGCGGAGAATAACCCACAAAAAGACAAGACACGGGATGATTTAGTTGATGACTCTGTTGTCCCAGTACATGACCCTGGAGATAGCATGAAAAGGAAAAATCGCTTCGACAACTGTCTTGTCTATAGTAGAAAGAAAAGAAGAGGGAAATCCATTTGTGATTTTACTGGAGAAACTGCGATAATGAGTGATGGGCTTGATAATTCTTTTGTCTCTGAACATGACTGTGGGGAAACCAAGAGAAGAAACAATCGGTTTGATAACTGTCTTGTGTATAGGAGAAAGAAAGGTAGAGTAAAATCTAATAGCTGTAGCTTTAGCGAACATGTCTCCAGAGAAACCAAGATAAGCGATGATCAAGCTGACTCTTTTGCATATGAACAAAGGGAGCAGATGCAGATAGTTATAGCTGATGGTGCTTTTACCGGACTTAGCCCTGGGAAAATTAAGAAGTGTGGTGATCACCCTTTTAACAGCCAAAGCAAGCAGTTAGTGAAATCTAATGGCAGTTTTACTGAGAGTCGTATTGGGGAAACCAAGATAAATGGTGATAAGTCTAATGCCTTGCTTATGTATAGCCGGAGGAAGCAGAGAGTGAAAGATATTGGTGTTCGGGTTAATGGCTTTCTAGTGTATACCCGGAAGAAGCTCAAAGCGAAATCCAGAGGTAATTTTACTGGACATGACCCAAGAGAAACCAAGAAAAATGGTGATCAACTTTCTGTCGTCAGTGCTCATGCTCTTTCAGTTCCTCGGAAGTACGCAAATAGTGTTTCTCATATTGAACAAGAGAGCAGTGCTCTAGAACTTATAGATGATACCCAAGTTACTGACGTGACATGTTCGTCTGATGGAACAAATAACAGCTGCTCTTCATTGAGTTCCAGTTCTGAAATTGCTTCAGGTCCCAGTAAAACTCGAGAAGATGAAGCTACAGATTGCAATTCCTCTGATGATGGGGTGTCTGAGACAGATACAGACGGTAGTAGCAGCCCCTTCAGACCGTGCAAACATTGTGATAAGCCAGTTACTATTGAAAAGATGCTAATTTGTGATAGATGCGAAGAAGCATATCATCCAAGCTGCTGCGGTATTCGAATGAAAGAAGTTGCAGAGATTGATGACTGGCTCTGTCCATCCTGTTTGAAAATGGAGACAAAGATTAAGGCGAGAATTTCACGCAAACGGAAATTGAGAGTTAGAGGACCTTTTGTAATAGGAATTCGAATAGGAAAAGAGTTTCAAGCAGATGTTCCAGACTGGTCAGGTCCAACCATGAGGTATGCACTTCAACAATCAACAGTGTTTCTGAGTTCTATTGTGATATCAAAGATGTTTACTGGTAAATGAGTGTTGTTCCTTTCACCAAAACGAGTGGCCTTTACTTGATATTTTGTTGACTTACAAAAATATTTTGATCTCAATGCAGTGATACTTCTTTTGTTGGTGAACCCTTGGAAATTGATCAGTCAGAATATATGCATGTAAGCTCTTAGTTTAGTGGATAAACATATGTTTTATGTTTCCATAGAGTTAATTGGATTTCAGAGAGTTGTAATTCTTCTTTATTTTCAGGATCTGAAGAAGGCCAAGAATGGTAAGAAACCACATTCTCCAGTGAATTGGCTCCAATGCAGAGAGGAGAATAATAATGGAGACATATGCGGAAAGTGGCGTAGGTAACATTAATAATTTAGCACGTTCTATTTCTTGACTCATACTCTTGTCTTGAATGTCTCTTGTTATCTATCGCCTTTTCATCGAGCTTCTTACCACACTATCTTCTTCCTTATCTCATATCTATAACTCAACAATTGGTGTAAAATAAGTTACTCAATATGCTTAATTTGACTGGATATGCACAGGGCTCCTCGTTCAGAGGTACAGACCAAAGACTGGGAATGCTTCTGCTGCGTCTCTTGGGATCCATCGCGTGCTGACTGTGCTGTCCCTCAGGTCAGAAATTCTCTTTACAATCATCTTCTTTTCCTCCAGAAGAATTCATTCAAGGATGAAAAGTTAGTATCCGTGAGTGGCTAGTACTCGGTAGAAGCAGTGAAAATTCCCGTATAGTCTAGTTTCATCTTTCTCCGTGAACATGTCATTTGGCCTCTTAAGACAGATTTCGACAACCTCCAAACAAAAGTTAATAATACAATTCACCTTGTGTTCATTTCTTTAGGAACTGGAGACAAGTGAGGTCCTTAAACAACTCAAGTACATCGAGATGGTTCGTTATATTTCTCATTGCTTGTTTGATCTTCCCTGGCCATAACTTTCTGTTCGGTATTTTCTACCTTCTAGATTCTCATCAACTCACTTCCCTCTGCAGCTTAGACCTCGTGCAGATGTCAAAAGGCGAAAGCTAGCACCCAAGGGCCGAAGCAGATCTCATAACAAAGGAAAATCTTCATAGACAAGCTTAGCCACGTTAAATGCATATGCTTTTGGATCAGACCTTAGAAAATAGAGAAGGTAATCAGAAAATTTTGTGAACGCCACTGAGTTTTGTTCCACTTGGGAAACTTAGAATATTGAGTGCCATTCAAGAGATTTATTAGATTCAGGTCTTTGTTAGACCCCAAAACAGGAGTTGTGAATATATCTTCTGTTTTCAGGGACAGTTTCTGAGTTAAATGAGAATCGTTTTCAAAGCTATAAAAGCCTATAAACAGCTTGTGGGTCTATCAAAGCATTCTGCTGATGAGAGTAGATTCATTATCAGAAAATGAGTATTACATTCAAAGCTTGGAACTTGGAGGATAGTAAAAGAAAAAGAAAAAAACCAAGTTACTCAAATTTTGTGTGAGTTACAGAAAATATGTTGGCAATATTACAGATTCAGAGAAACAAGAGCAAATCACCATCCGTATTTAGCTTGTGTTTCGGCTTTTGTGAGCATTCCTCTTGAACGTCTCTCTGCCAACTCGCTCTCCTTGTGCTTCATGTCCATGAATAACGACGTGATCTGATGCTTCCTCTTGTGAAGCTTTGACACTTGGACCTTAGATGAAGTCGCAGGCTGAAATACATAACCAAACAAGACAACATTTAAAAGGCAATACAAAGAATTCAATAATTCATGTTTGGTATGATATCAATTATCAAGTAGCCATCCCCACAAAGAAGTTTTGCAGTAAGACACTACAAACATTATAATGGCAGCCACAAACAGGAGATAAATTCACAACTCCTACTCTAATTACTGTCAAATTCTCCATCTTCTACGAGCAAAGGCATTAAATTTATAGAACCAGACCAAGCCACAAACAACTCTCAAGTTCTTGCAGCAAAAATAAACTCAAGGAAGAGAACAGTTTAGAATTTCAGAGATACTAATTATCGGATATGACGTACAATTCATATTCTATTTCATTGTAAGGTTAAATTTCGAGCTTTCTCAAATATTCATCATTCTATAAGCTATCTAATGGAAGAAAAAAGGCTTTTGATTTACCAACTCAGAGCAATAACAGACCCTAGAGACAACTCCCAAGTTCTTGCATTAGATAAAGAGTCAAGAAGCTAAACAAACCTGATACGCAGGTCCAAAGGCGATCCCGGTAGCTTTAACCTGATCAACTCTTGGCCTATTCTTCATAAGCTCATCTTGCTTAACCTCAACAATCTCTGTTGGAAT